TACTCGGAGACAGACGTGCCTTTATTTAACCTATCAACAGTTCTCAATACCCCATTCGAGTGTCGGGCCGATCAATGTTCTTTCTTTCTTTGCTGTTGACCGAACTCGATTCGAGCCCCTCGTTTGGAGTTCATTCCCCCGCAGCATTTCATGCTGACACTGTTTCTATTTGACGATGAAGTTTGGTTTGGCTATTACACTCCGGATATGGCTTCGATCGTGCATCGCCATCATACATGAAGATATTTTTGTAAATTACTGGACAAACACGAACAATATCGTAGTTATCTAATACTGCTTATTGAATTTCTTAATAATGGCTTCTTTATTGTAAGTAAAAGATTAGACGTGACAGCTCTTGTTTTAAATAAAGCATGTAGGAGCTTTTTCTCCGGTAAATAATTGTAATTGATTGGTAAGGTGCTAACGCGCTAAATTAGCTTATCACGAGATTTTATTATTTGTTTTTCTTATTTACAATTAAATAGTTGCGTATGTCGACTTATCTAATCGAGGTATTCAAATTTCAAGAATAAAGATGCGAGCTTTTACACGTTCATTCATATAATAGAATAATAATTATATATAAGTTTGTAGAATTATTATACTTTAAATTACTAATGAATTTTTTTATGATATATCTAAAAGACTGTTGGCAGTTAGGAATTTCAACTAAAAATTTAAGGCATTTAAGAATATTTGATATAAAAGATATTAAGAATTAAAGAAGAAACCTGTAATAGTACCGCATTAATTTCTATAAATTTAATTCATTGTTATAGAACTGGGAATTATAGTTGTATGTTGAAATTTCGTGTCCCAGTGGAATTCGCATTGGTAAGTGCATGTTTAGTCTCTATATATGTGCGAAAGTATATCCGTAAGTTATTGGCTTGTAGCTGTGTTTCAGCGTCAACACTTTTTCTCAATATATCGCTCTTGTTTTAAAAACTTATGACTATATTAAGATGAATTTTCATATACACGCACACACGCACACGCGCAAATATAAACTGATATACACATGTTATATATATATATATATATATATATATAATATTTATTGCGATAATAATATAATAAAGTATATAATAGAAATACTATAACATAATACTATATACAATAATACTATACAAATAATATAATAAATATTGCGATTCGATAGCAAATAATAGTTAAGGGCATAAAAAGATTACTGTTTATTATCAAGGATTACAAATGGCCAGGCCAACACCAATCGAAGTCAACGAAGCTCTTCAGTTGTAATTCAAGTTTCCTCTAGTCAATGTTCTTCATCAAAAGCTAATGAAATAATACATCCCTGAAGACTCTGGGGATTGTCCTTTTCTTTTTATAATCTAGAATTTTCAAGATATTACTTTTTCTTTATGAGAGCAAAATATGTATACATTATTATATGTAAATAGTACAAAAATGTGGAATTATTGAATGTTAACAATACTCATATCAATAATAAGTATAATTGATTATTAATCAGATTATTAATATCAGGTTTAATTAATCATGTTATTAATCAGATCATAATAATGTCGTAAATAGATATATTTAAATTTCATAAATAAATATAATAAATGTAGGAATAAAACAATAAAATAAAATAGTAAAAGTTTGTTCCCTAACACAAAGTTATAAAGAAACATTAAATAGTTGAAAATCTAAATTATTTCGTTGATAACCCTATATATCAACGCTCAAAATTATAATCTCGTAATAGTTAGCGATTGACAATTTATTTGGTAATAGCCGTCAACTTCATAGATTTTGAACTTTTATGCTTATTTATTATATATATTTTAAACTCGAACGATCTGTCAAAATAATATAAATATTTAGACTTAATTAAATATTAATTTTTACATATCGTCTATTTACATGCTAATGTCGTGGTTAACAAATTTTGTTTTTTTTCAAAGAATATTCTATTACTATACAAATGCAATAGAAATTCGAAATGTTAATGTTATTAATATATCAACATTTTTTATGTTCCAATTGCTTCTCATAAAGTCTGAAGGTTCGAAAGTTAGGAAAATTATAAACAATATAGATTTCACTTCGTTTCGTTATCGTAAGTTAATTTTATAATAGTACAAATAAGCTTATAATTAAAAGATAAAAGTAAGTCGAAATTAGAAACGTAGGAAAAGAGTAAAAGTCCTTTAAATGAAATCTTAGCTTCTGCTCTCGTAATGACGTTATAAGTTTCCTCAATTTGAAAATCTCCACAAACGAAAAAAGTATGTATACATCAGATTTACAGACCCACACATATGCGCGCGTGCCAACACATCACGCACCCACGCACAAATGCATACACACACATACAGAGAGAGAGAGAGAGAGAGAGAGAGAGAGAGAGAGAGACGCAGGCAAAAGTATAGGCATACACACGCGTACACACTCGCGCATATACACGCCTGCATACAACTCCAGATATTATTGTAGAGGCATAATTTATATTTTATTTCTGTACCGGATAGGTCATTCTCGTAACTGACAATTTTTCCAGCACTAAACTTTCTCGTCTAGTCGATCTATATATGTATTTAAAGGATAAGAAAAAAGAGAAAATGTTGAAAAAACCAAAAACAGACAATACAAAAGAAAGGAAGAATATCACCTGGTAACAGACCTGAGTGGGGAGAGGGGGCAGAGGAAACGAGGGAAAAAAAGCATGGAACGAGGAAAACAAGGGCAATAAAAGGGTGGAAAAGTTATCATTTTGACGCACCAGGGAGCAGACGGGGCGATTTATCACCATGAAATGTTGCCCGCCGCTTACAGGACTGCCATACCCTCCCGTTCGCCACTGTGCACAGCTTCGATGGTCCTTCCCATGTTATAAGCAGCAGTTGGATATATAACTCGCGATACTTCCTGCACTTCCCCGGGACCGGGAACTGATGTTTATTTACTAATGAACGTTTGAGGAATGGCGCACGAAAAGCTGCAGCGAAGGAATACCACGTGACTAAGGTGGACGAACTTTCTAGCATTGCCCAAGATAAAAATCTAAAATTTTGCACGATATGATGGAACTTCGTGGAAAAATGGAATGCGATACGAATGATTAGTGATGTTTGTGATCGCTAATTTATTATTAGAATTTGGTATGTGAATAAGCGTAAATTTAATAAGCCAATAAATACCGATGACCGCGCGAGGTTAATCTATTAAATATGTCGTTGCCAAAGAGATATTTTATAAATGATTAAATCTTTAATTGAATTATGGATTGCGTGTCTCGTTTTAAGATCTGCAATGGAAAAGAAGTGCTAAAATTTAAAATAATTTTGTTAACTTCCATCGATATATAATTCATAAATTAACCATAATAAAAAATAGCTTAATAGTATATTGGTATTGCATTTCCAATTAATTGGCATAAGCACATATCTGATGAACCTTCTTTTCAGGCTAAAGTGAATATTTTGAATATGAAAGGAAACGTGTGAGAATATTTTCATAATGAACAATTAAGAGCATCTCAATGCTATGGACAGTAGGATTAAAAATAGGATAAAAAAAAAATACTGGAAATTTGTTTTAATAAATGAAACGTATTGATTAAAAAAAGATTAAATAATATTATTACCAATGATCAATAATTAATTGAAAATTATTTAATTAATTATGCTAACAAAATTATAAAATTTTTACTGAATTGTTTTAATAGTTTAACAATGTTATTATACTTTACTTATTATCTTCACAATATTAGACACAAAGTTTTTTTTTAAAACTGCATTAAAACTGTTGTGCTAAATCATGAAAGAAACAGAATTCTTATATTTTATATTTTGCTTGCAATTATTTGTGACAAAATTGCCTTATCGCACTGTTAATAATTGATTATTATTTTTACACAGTTTCTCTTGAAATTAGAATATACATTTTTAGATACGTGTATAAATAGTATCAAGAAGATAATAAATTCTGTATTAAATTTTAATCAGTTTTACCAAATGAATTCAATTAAATTGAAAATAAAAGTATTGTGCAGGGATAGGCTAATGAATTTGATAAGAAACTATATAATAAATTTAAGTAGTAATATTTTTATATAGTATCTGTAATAATGTAACAACTTTTTATAATAAATTGGATCATATGCTTCGACACAATGATACTAGATTCTGAATATCCGAATATGATAATAGATAATTTAATTGAGAAAACATAAATAAATAAACATAAATATCGATAGATTACACGTTCTTTACTATGGATTAGACGAACTTTTAACGAAAAGTGTATATAATTTCAAAATTATATCATGAGAATTTGATTAATACTTTGAACTATGTAAATATATACAGGATAAATGGATAATAAATCTCTTAAAACTTTAATAATGAAAATTGTTCACAAACTTTTTCCCAAAACTACTATTACTCGGTAAACTGAATTATAGATATTCATAGATTTAAATTGCTCTGTTTATTTACTGTATCTAGAATTTTTATATCACTTTTCAAATTTATTTAATGCACGGACTATTCAATGAACTGTATACATAACTATGTATACATATATAACTATGTATATATATATATATATATATATATATGTATATATATATATATATATATATATATATTGCAATGAAAATTTTTTCTTTAATATTATTGAACCACAATGGTGATTCAAAATTTTAATTTTACCTTTTATTCTATGCACTATCTTATATTTGTACACATATATATTATATATTAATCATAATGTCATATTTAACTTACGACTAAAAATTAATAAAAAATAATTTTTATAATTAATTTTCTTGTTAATTTCGATATTAAAGTGTGAATATTGTTAAATAAAAATTGACAGTGTACAGTGTTGCTTATGCAGTTATGTATTCGCAGTAGCATATAAAATTATTTATAAATCATAATTATAAAAGCTATTCAGCCAATTATTAAATTGAGATAGCCAAGCCGTTACATCCCGCATAAACGCGACATCTTTTATCGACGTACCTTGCAATGGTAGCGCCAACGGCTTCACCAGGTCGCAATCTTTGATCCGAAGCTCTTTCAAGATTCGCCTAACGCAACCCATTGCCACTGTTAATGCTGATGCAAGTACCGAGAGATAGAGAGAGATAGGTAGAAACTGCTCTTTCAAATGAACATTCCCACGACCGTAATCTTTCGTAATAAGCAAAGTTATGGCAAGTATCACCAATAGTCATGATCTACATATAAAATAGTCCGCTGATATGTTCTCTGGAATTACGAATACTGTGGGAGGATAAATGTTAATATATTAATGTTTAATATTAATGTTAATACAATAAATGTTAATATAATATATTAATTAATAAATATAATAAAATAAATAAATAAATAAATAATAAACCTCGTAATAAACGAACGTAATAAATGAAAACGTAATAAATTAATAAAAAGGTTATATGATTAAAAAGTATTTATGCAATTCTATTTAAAAAAATAATATATATATATATCGTCTATAATATCTATCGTATAATAATAAATGAATTGGCGTCAATGAATTATTGCTTTCTTTACTGCCGCTAAATTATTATTTATTATTATATATAATCTTTTGAATTGGTCGTAATTTTTGTTCTTTATTATCTTGCTGAAAGAAATTTTGACTTTACCTGCATTGAATCTTGATATCTGATATTAAACATTCCGTTTTCAGTTTCCTTTAAAGCTCTTCTCAGTCTATTTTATGAAATTCTATTATAATATTCTTTATATGCATGTATATCTTAAATAAACTTGGCATAAAATAAAGAAGATTATGAAATTGTTGACGTGTATTATTAAAGTATTGATGATATTTTCACGTCAATAATAATAACAACTAACTTTATCTAGGGCTAATCATACTCTATAGGCTTAATTTATTAGTAGACTATAGAACTTATTTGACTACGGCTTATAATACGAATAATACCAAAGCATTTTTTTCTTTTCTTCCAAGTTGCTTATTTATTGTATTTATAAAGCATAGAATTAGCAAATATCTATATTACATAATAGATGTGTTTTATCAAATTAATCATTATCATCACGCCAATCATCACTACTTCGAACTATTCTACTAACGAAAAATGTAGTTGCTGTTTTTATTTGCACTCCAAATGAACGTACATTCTATATATCGGAAGCATCAAATTTATCGATTAATTTCTAATATAATTTAATATTCTTATGCAACACGTTGACGCCTCTGCTACTATTCTTAATCCGAATGTTTTATAAAGTTTTTGCCGTAACGGCACCCGCTGATTACCTTCTGTGAATTAATGCAGAAATCGATCCTGAGGCTCGCGCAACTCTACATTAACGAATTATCGTTTGTCGTACTGTTGGATTTTGAAAGGTTTAAAAGCTTTTAAGGTATAGTCTTTTGAGAAATACCGTATGTGTATATGCTGCATTTTAAAGTACAATGTATGTAATAAATTATTTTTGAGCAGCTGAAAGCTTTTGCATTCTTAAAGTTCTTTTAATAATTTTTAATTTAACTTTAATAAAAGAAAAAAGAAAGAAAATGAAACTTCATTTAACAATTTTTTGCCTCACTTATTTATTAACCCATACATTTATTAATTATAGCAGAATTTATTAATTTATAATGATAGTTAATTTTTTGTTGAATTAATTTTATTATAATTTCATTTTTTTTTTTTTTTTTTTTTTTTTTTTTTTTTTTATAATTTTTTGTTACGTAGTCAATTAAATATTCCTTATATAATAAAATTCCTTTCAATCGTTATTTTACAATAATTTTGCAATAATATTTAATATTGTTATCAAACAATATATGTGCTTTAATGTAATATATTGTACATTCGTTCAATAATTGAAATTTTGTTATTCACTTTTATTACAATAATTTGAACTTGATATAGATAGTTTTGTATTCTATCTGCGCAGTCATTCGATAAATAATAATTGAAAAATATAGGCGAAATAAATGGAAATACTTGATTTAAAAAAATTAATACATTTATTTGAAAAAAAAAACTATTTAAAATAGTAACAATGAATTGATATAATTAATTGACAATGAGACAAATAAAATTTATCAATTTGATTGCAATATTGTCAAATACATTAAATAATTAGCAATCAATAATATAATGAACAATTTTATTAACGATATGAATTCTTTTATAAATAAATAATTTTGATAACCTCTCGATTTTTAATAATATATTACATTTATTCTAAATAATTAATATCATAGAAGCGATTATTAAAAAAAAAAAAAAAAAAAATTTCAATTTATGTCACGTTCATACTGAACAAATAAATATATTTTCGGCGACAAATGTATATCAATAAGGAGAAAAAACTTGAGAAAACTCTGTTACTTTTAGTCCATTCATACTGACCGAACTGTAACTTGCAACGCGACTCTTGTTATCTCTCTTATTCTTATTTAGATAGGCTTTATTATTTCTATTCTTTTGTTTTGCTTCATTCTTTCGACAAAATCTTCACTACAGGCAGTTGTAGAAGAATAAAAAGTATTAGTATATAATAGAACTTTCAGTCGTCATTTTTTATTATTGAAGAGAAACGTTATTTAAAATTTCTATGATACTATATTATAATAGAGAAAATTGTAGTTTGAATTGTAGTGAGGTGAAATTTGTTTAAAATTTTTCAGTACTTAAAATAGAACGTTTTTAGAACAGATTCTTCTACGTGCTCCAGTTAATCAGTTTTATTCTGTCTTTACATGGTTCACGTATTTAACGAATCGCCAAGTCGCAACAAGCATTATGAAAATTGATGATATATTTTTTATATATAATATAAAATTGACATTTAAATTTGTATTCGCAAATAAATAGACTGCTGAAAGTTTCCTTTTGGTAACGAATTTCTATTATATTAAATATTTTCTGAAACATAAAAAATAACATACACTAAACTATTTTCGGCCAATTTGCCTTTTCAAATGATCTTATATTATATTACAATCCAGCTTAATTTCCGCATCTCTAATAATAAATAGTATATAATTAATGGAAAAACACAGATTGTTCGCTAAAAGTATCTATCCACTTTCCAAATGTATTCTCGAAATGAACAAATTCTAAATAAAGAGCGAGAATAATACCTAACTAGTTGGGTTACTTTATTATAAACCAATGGAATAGTTCAATTGATGTAACATGGGAGACTAACTACTTAATTTTTAAATCACTGATCGCATTTATTAGATATTAGAAAATAATTTATTTATGTAATTAAACATTCTAATTTTTTTAAATTCTTCTAGTAAAATTATCGTTTGATTGTTTAGTTGTAATTGAATGTAATTTAATAGAAGTACTTGAATTATTTCATAATTAATGTGCATAGGAAACATATATATATATTTCATTATACATTACAATCTTGATTTTTATGCAATATTATATTCATATTCGTGAAAAATTTCAAAACAATATAGAATTTATAATACCTTAGGAAAATCATTGCTTTCAATTATATTCATTTCTAGAATTAAACAACTTTCAATTATTAATATATTATTATGCAATTGATGAAAATATGTCTTTTATTTTACACTGAGTCTTTCACTATAAATAATTATTGTACGATATGATACAAAATTCTGGAACATTTGCTATATAAATAAAATATATATCCTAAAACGTGTTTACATCAATTCTATTCAATATAAATTATATGTTAAATTAACATAATCATTATTATACGAATGTTTTTATTGATTCATTATTACACTTTAAAAAAAAAAAAAAAAACGGTTTCAAAAAAAAATTTTTTTTCTAATTCATTTAGTTTTTCAACTCAATTTCTATATCATTGGTTATGGCAAAGGTATAAGTATCGATTTAAATTATTTTTTTATAATTCCTCATGACATTAATATTTATAAATAATTTCACACTTTATTATTATTTTACAAGCAAGTATATCTTCGCAATTGTTTAAAAAAAAAATGTCTTTTAATTTATGTATAATTAATTCATCCGTAAAATAAATTAAAGAGTGTTTCGAAAAAAATTTTTTCCAAAATCCATAATTTTTAGAACATTATATCTATATATAAATAATATTTTTAAGAAAGAGTACGTAAAATTTACGTTGATTAAATTCTCAAATAAATAATATTAGTGCAAGTATGAAATTATTAGATAACGTGTAAAACTATAAAAACATTGTTTATGAACGAATAATTTTTAACAATATATGTAGTAAATATTCTTCTTCGATATATTAATTCATAAATTCATAAAAATTCAAATTGCATTGATTCACACGAGTATATAATATGAATTTTTCTTCTAAATCGAATGCCGGGGGCAAGCTACTTCGAATTTGAAGTTTATCAAAGTAACGTTGAATTCTACATTAAATATCGCGCTCGAGTAGTACCTTTTCCGAACTATCGACTTGATTATTACAATATTGCAACATCGAGTTTCGGTTATTCGTAATGATATTTTAATGTACGCGTAGGTAACTATTGCGCAACAAAGAAGACGAATAAGACGAGGGAGAAACAAATCCCGCTTTATCCTTCGCGCATCGATGCAGGTGTCCTTCTCACTTATGCTACTCACGACTCGCCTGTTTATGAATCTGTCTTGCCCTCGTCCTGAGTTAGTTTTACGCCTCTTTATTCGTTTTCTCGCGGTCTCCAGTGGCCGTTTATAAATTCATCCCTCGTTGCCTACAAAATTTTACTGTCTCTTGGCAAACCCAGTAATTCGCGCATCACTCTGGAAACAATGAGATCCGAGCGACTGTTGACTGGCATCAAGAATTTCATGTATAATTGGATAATCCATCGTCGTATTTATTTACGATTTATTCACGCATTTGAGGTCCTTCAACATTGTTGTTAGGCCGTTGGACTGAATGCATATAATTGTTGAAACGATCGTTGATTGTGTGCCTTCGTAAATTGAGGTAGAGTAAAGAATGTTGATATTCCGATTGAGATATTAGTTAGAATATTAAGTTTCCGCGAAAATTGATGATACATATAACGCTTATAAACGACATTTTTATGAGTGGTAGAAAATTTCATTAAGA